ATAATATCAAATATACAAAGTGTAGATTGTGCAGAGTCGAGTCTCAGGTCTGATCTGATTCTGGTCTGGTTCCTGTTTTGTCCAGTTCATTAAGTTTACTAAGTTACACAATCCAAGACCAGACTGTGGTAAAAGTCAAGATTTTCAACAATGATTGTTCATGTGTTAGAAAAGTTAATAAAATAATTAAAGTTTTGGACATTTGATTTTTCACACTAAGTTCAGCCCAGATACGACACATGAAAACAACACAATCTGATCCCACAAACATCCTGGATCTTATTCTTTGCTCTTCTTTCATTTTATAATGTTTTATAGAAGTATCGGATCGGGACTTGGTATCGGTAGAAAATCAAAGGACTCAGACTTGGGGGGCGAAAAAATGTGATCAGGACATCCCTATAAAATATCAATTGGTAATTACAATTAGAACTCAAATACTTTTTACTAATAGTTATGCTGCAAAACTGTGCAATAAAAATATACACTTCTTCTCTCTTCCTTGAACCGTTCCACATTTAAACCACAATAAAACATCTCAAATAACAACTTCTGTGTTGTTGCTCTTTCCATGTCTCAGATCTAATAATATCATATAGGGCAGCATGGACTCCCCCGGCGATATAAATATCCCACACTGTGCCTTTATGAGTGTATGGTCAGATGATAACGGCAGCAGACAGAGGAGCTGTGTGCAGACAGACACAGCCTTGGTTTGTTCCCCTTTATAGAAACATTAATGTGAAACGCTCCAGGCATTAGACACCTCCCGATGGCTCTGAATAATGTCTGGAATGGGGCTAATAGCGTACAAGGCTGCATGAGTAAGCAGCATAAGGCAATGTCTGTGTACGATTGGGTAATAAGACAAAAAAGAATCATATTTACTTTGCGTGTACAGATGGATCATGATTTCTGGGGTCTTTTTGTATTAAAAACAAATATATATGTTTTTTTTTATCTTAATTTTATGAACAGAGATAAGACAGACTTTCAAATACACTCTAATCAAAACAATTAGTCATGAATCAGAATATAAGTCAGTTTAACTTAAAGGTGCAATGTGTAACTTTTCTGGTGGAGGGGTCGTCAAATACAAATATAACCTGATTCATCAGCAGATTTCACTTCATGGAAACCATCTGACCTCACAGCATTAGGATTCGTTCACTCGACGGTAGATCGATACTTGTTTTATTTAACAAATCACTGCTATTTGGTCGTGACGTATGTAATGCGCCAAATCCTGTAGGAAGAAGGACAATAACGTCTTTCCCCTTGATAAAATTCACCAAACATTCTCTTTGTTCCGGCTTTAAATCCTCGATCTCGGGAATCGTTGCCAACACAGAATGTCTGTCTTCGTCTACATCCATCTCGACGCTTTGTTTACTGTTGTGTTGTTCCACAAAAGGGACACAGACAGACGCTTGAGTTTGACGTCATGGCTTCACAGCTCTTCACTGATTGGTCGGTGCGTGGTCTACAGCTTCCGGGGTTCTTGCAAACCGTCTAGTGTATTCCGATTCCTGACCTAGTCGCTGGAGAGAAATGAAATTGAGAGGAGGCACTAGCCTGGCTGATTCATTGTGGTTTGAGCATATTGGTTTACATTTTACAGAAACTAAACTTAAAACCGCATGGTAATTTGCATAAACTCGAGCGCTCAAAAAACAGTTCGCTTCTTGTGCGCTGATGCGGTTCAGCTTCTATCAAACTGAAAGACACGACTCAGTGGAATATGAGTGTTCTTTCTGTGACAGAGGGGTGTTCTGCTGATGGTGAGTCTGTTCTGTGTTTCTGTCGTGTTGGAGATGGTTCATGTTAAACTTCTCAGAGATTATACGTCTGCAGGTCGTACACACAGACACACGTTTATATAAATGGACATATATTCTAGCCTCTTAATGTTTTGGCGGTGAATTACTTGCGGTGCATCGACCTACATCAGCGTATCAGCGTTTTCAGGCGTCCACACAGTGCCGGATCAGATCTGGACTCAGATGAATCCGTGGGAGTTGGCGGCTCCAGATCGTTCCGTCTCTGGAGCCGTTTTCAATCCGATTAATGTGAACAAACACTGCATCCACAACAAAAATGACTCAAATACGAACTAGAGTGGATGGGGCATAAGTTAATCAACTTAAAATAACTGAGGCAATCGACTGTCTACATTTTTTTGAGCTCTGGTAACTTATTTGGGTTTACAGTCTATCAGTAAAAGCAGTGTTTGATTTGAACATGTTTACTTCATATTTAGGGGACAAATATAGGTCAAATTTACGGGATTTAAAATCATGTGCACAGTTCCTTTAATTCAAATAAGAAATAATCGCTATGGCAACGATGTAATTTTTTTTCATAAATTGGAGACCCATGTACAGGCATTAACACTCGAGCCGTAACACAGGGCCCATGTTGTTTACATTCACCAAACAGCTCTTTATGTGCCGCTGTTACGAGCTACAGACCCACTTTGTGCATTCCCCCCTGGGCACATGACGCTTGTTACAGCATTTCTGCAGTTCCCACCGTCCCTGAACTAGACACATGTGAGGGGCCTCAGACAACTGGGGCAGACCGAGCCGGGGTATCTGTGAGCCTATAGAGTACGCCCCCAATGTATGCGGGAACTATTTTAAACATCCGGGCAGAGCTACTGAACCTGTCCGCGCAGATAAAGGCAAAAATGTCAGACAAGTTAATCTGATAAATTGCATTAAAGACCATATACAAAATTTTTCCCCACGTATTTGAGCAAACTTGAACATGCCCCAGTAAAGAACCCAAGTTTAACACACTCTATCTCTTTATATTTTCTTATACTTCATCTTAAATAGAGGTACTGTGATAGAAAATGCCCCCAAAATGTCCCCAACATTTTTCACAACAGGCTGTAATTGCAGCGATGTAGCGGTTATGTAACAATAACCAAAATATCGTGATAGTGTGAAGTGTGCTCAGTGTTTACGGAAGTCCCCTAAACTCTGGGCTTGTTTCCCAAAATACGGTCCAGTTCATGGTAAAATTAACAGGTTACACGTAAACGGCCGCTTCGTTTGTTCCAGTCTTTAGCCTCCTTGTATTGACTCGCAGACTCTTTATTTTTCGTTGACACTGGAGTCGCGCTCGGATATTTCTTTGACAATCATTTCAAAAACCGCCGGGTTCCGATAAGACTCGTCTAATTTGACCTGAATACAGCGATCCCCACAACTCTCTAACCTCGCTTTCCCTCCATTGACGAGACTCCGAGCCTGATGTGTAGGTGGGATGAATGTGACCTGACCGTTCAGACTTAAAGTTTGTATAGAGGATTTTCCAAGGAACGAGAAATCCAGCGACTGTTTGTCCTTTTTCAAATGTTGCGCATGCGTGAAACCACCCCCCTCCCCACAGCTCCTACGTAGAAACGCCTCCTCCCTCCTCCTCTTTACGCCAGAAACAGGTTTGTTTACAGCCGGTGCGCTGCACATGACTTGTAAACAACTAACTACAGTGTTGGTTAGGCAAGACGGAGAAGTGAGGAGCGGGTGCGCGGACATTTCGTGCGCAGACGAGAAGTGAGGAGCAGGGAGAAGAGTGGAGTAGGGAGAGGAGAGAGGAGAGGAGAGGGAGAGGAGAGGGAGCGGTGCGCGGAGATTCTGTGCCCGGAGAAGTGAGAGAGGAGAGGAGAGAGGAGAGGGGAGCGGTGCGCGGAGATTCTGTGCCCGGAGAAGTGAGGAGCAGGGGGAAGAGCGGAACGGGCAGTGGGGACAGGAGCAGGAAAGGGGTGCAGAGAAGGTTGCGCGGAGATTCAGTGCGAATGAACTAGCTACAACACGCAGCAGCAAGCGGACTCTTTCTTTGCATTGAAAATTACGTTTTCAGACATAGGATATCGCTTTCGTGTCCTGAAAAACGTTTGTCCAGCTCTTGGAAATAAAGTACGTTTTCATAATAAGCAGAAGTTTCCTGTCCAGGAGTAATTTGGCGACCAGTGCGTCAGTCTTTAGACCCTGCGTCTGCTTCAGTTGCGCCATCGCTGGAATGAATCTTCAAGAATCACCTTAGTTTGGCTTCGCTGCTTTTCCCCTTGTCTTCTTCTTTCAGCAACCTCAAAAACGGACTTTCTTTTGCGGCTAACTGCTCCTGGATTCTTGTCGCCATTGCAACAAACTTTGTGTGAACTGCGAGGAAGATATAGGTCAAAAAAAGCCGCTAAGAACCGTTGCGTTGGTGGAGTAAACAGCGTCTGTGCGTCTTGTGTCTGTGGACTGCGTGACAGTCGTACGTAAACCACGTACCGGCGGCGCAGGCAAGTCAGTTACACTAGAAACGTAGGGAGATTGATTGACAGCCTGTCAGCTCACAGATAACGAGGCAGTGTCATTATCTATTGGCAAATGTTTAGCCCCACCACGTCCAGAGTTGATGAATTTTTATTCTCTTTTTTTTGGTCATCATAATTACAAGGCTACTGCACCTCTATAATCTATCATTGACAATTTGAAACAAAAAAAATCCTCCATACAACGTTTAAGTCACATGTCAAAAGATCGGATATGTAACAGTTTTAGGAGTACACGTCCAAGTGTCCTGGGTCGCATTTGAAAAAATCGGATCTGTGTCGTTCAGACTGTCATTAAAAAATCAGATACAGGAGCATAGGGGTGAAAAAATCAGACTTGGGTCACTTCAGCCAAACTCTGATGCAGTGGTTTTAAGATTAAAACTGAGCTGGAGACAGGTGAGAGTTCTCAGGTCGAGTTTGCTGTGGAACTGTCAGATTGCAGATTTGTGGACCTGGTTTATGGTTCATTTCTTTGTAATTACTTGGACTATCCACATGAAACAAAAACCGACACAAAGTTCAGCGTCTTCTCTGTCAGTATAAATGAACAAAATGAAGTTGTTTTTTGCACAATAGCTTCAGAGCATTCCAATAAAAACATTAAACGATTAAATGAAGCACCATAGAGTAATAACAGTAGAACAACTCAGAAGGTTTATGTATTTACCTTGTGTTTTTCTTCTGTGGAGAGCCTATTCCACTGTGGCCTGGGGGACTGGCGTATCGCGCTGTGAGGCTGCAGACACACACACAAACACACAAACACACACACACCAGGATTAGACAATGGACAATAACGCACTTAGTTTTATAAAGACATTAAAGCTGCATTGTGTAAGGTTTCTTGTGGAGGATCTGCCAAATGCTTTTCTCAATGCAAACCTTTATTACTTTGTCTAGAATGTTTCACAATATGGTGTTAAATCTTTCTATCTTCATGGAGACCGAACCAGACCAAGTCACAGGTCAGATCTGTGGAGAGGCGACCCCGCTCACAGTCAGAACGCCTTTTTTTCTTGGTATTTTTGAGCTGTTTGGTCATTTAAATAAAGGCCTTTTGACTATATTTTTCCTCGTGCGATTGTTACTTCTTTGGAGCGCCTGGAGTCCGTTGGGTTTTAACTAGTGATGGGCAAATGAGACGGCTGTACAGCTGTAAAACCACCTGAAATTGAATAAAGGTAAAGTAAAGCTGTTTAATGTCACACTGTGGAACATTCCTGACAAAGAATGACATATCTATACAAACAAGCAGGTGACGGACCCTTAACCAAAAAGTTACACAGTGCAACCCTGCAAAATATATTACTATCAAATAGACCTTTTTCACAATGTCCGGAAGTGGCCCGATGTAGAGTAAACGTAACTCCCGGTTAATGGTTTTCTGTGGCAAAATATCTGTGGAAATGTCTCACCGGCTTCATAAATCTGCCCCATCACCAAATCTTCAACCAACAAGGTCCACAAAGGATAAACATTCTAACATGAACAATTTATCCACAACTGTCAAGGTAAGAAAGACGAAAACGTAAAGGCGAACAACGACGATGCATTAGTAGTGATGGTCAAATACAGAGCTCCGGAGCACGTCTCGTTTTTTCTGAAACAAATTGCTCTGAAGCGCTTCCTCGGAGCTCGTCTCGCAGCAGCCGCTCACGTGACCAAAGTGTGGAAGTGTCGGTCCCTCCCCCTACTGCTTCACTCTGCGTCAGTCGCTTCAGCGTATCGAAGCGTTTCATTGGCTCAGCGAATGTTCCGCTCTGCGATTGGTTCAGAGTGTTCAGCGCACTTCCGTGGGTTGACGAGCGCTAAACTGCTACAGTATAAAAGATGCACCAATATTTCTTAAAAACGTTGGGTAGTGAGGAGTGCTGTGTGACGTTAGTGGTGATTTTGGCGACTTTTGGTATTTGTTTCATTTTCGATGGCATCTACAAGTGGAAAAAAGCGATCCATGGTTTGGGATCACTTTGATCTAATTCCACCAACAAGGAAACACCTATTTTCTTATTTACAGCTGTTATTTATGTTGCTCTTTACATATTATTTTAAATCATCATTATTATTATTGTTGTTGTTGGTTACGGTGTCGCTCTGCACACAAGTTTTGTCTTACACTAACAATACTTCATCGATGCTGAGACACCCGCGTGACAATGGTTAAATTTGTCCACTAGAGGTCAGTGTTTCTCCGAGGCCTCAGACACGTCGAACCATTTGAGACAATATTGCGACTGAGGTGTCAATGCTTCACGAGGCTCCGTTCGCCCGTCACTGGTTTAAAGTTTTGATCCTTTTTCCAAGAGCGCCCTCTACCTGCTCCCACTGACTGGAACACCTGCAGCAAACAGCCACGTTTTTGTTCTTTCTGTATTTTTGAGCTGTAAATGAATAAATGTAAGGTAGAGCTGTTTAATGCCATACTGTGGAACATTCCAGACAGAGCAATGCACGCAAAGTGAGGACACAGTTTAACACGAGTCAGTGGCAGTTTGTGAAGTAAAGTTTTGCGAGAAAACGGTTACAGAAATGGGAAAACTGGGATTTTCTTTTAGCAATCTCCCACTTTTTTTTTACTGGCAAAATTTCAAAACTTTTCCATGACTTTTTCATGACCTAAAGTGAATTTTCCATGACTTTACTGCACCTACACCTGTAGAATTGATCAGACTTTTAGGGCTAAATATGAAATGTTAACGCTTTCCATTCACATTATGGTTTAGGATAATAGTTTTTTAACATTCAAAATCCTGTCAGTGCATTTATTGTCGTCTCTTTTAAACAAAAAGCTCAGACGTTCATAAATAATCGTAATAGCCTCGTGATAATTTAACAGAAAGCTGTAGTTGCATGAAAGAGATACTAAAATCACATGACTTTTCCCAAAAACTTTCACTGAATTTACAAAATTTCATAACTTTTCCACAAATCTGGCCTCTTAGTGTCACCTGCTTGTGTCCATGGAGATGAGTAAGGTTAATTAATACCATAGTCTGGAATATTCTAAACAAAGCAAGAACATCTCAATGGCAACAAGCAGATGGGAGCCTCGCAGTGCACTTTTAATGTCCTTGGAAGATGTAACACTTGTCCTTTATTTTTGGCACCCACCCACAGGCATATCTTAAAGTTTGATGATTTCTTCATATGTTTGGACAAATAGACAAACGGACAATAGACAAAATATTAAAAAAAAAAGTTAAATCAGACCTATTTTAGATCACTTTTATGTAGTGAGAACCGTTTATGTCATGAAGGTTACGAGTGTCAGAGAGTTAAAAGGAGCTATACCTAATTTTTCCATGTTAAAAATGTGAAAAACAGACGTTATTTTCTGATTTATGTCATATAATATACTGTCATTTCCTCATCACAAACAGACCTGGAGTTGTGTTTTTCCATGGAAATAAAAAGCTGAAACCATACATTGGATCATTCTCCGAGAAGATAGATAAACGTTATTGACGGACGACGATTATTTCCACGTAAACAAGCACAAAGATCCACGCCAAATACATAAGAATCAGGTGGACACGCAAGCCTGTTTTTCTGTGCAATAAAGACAACCAAAATAAAAACAAACAAAACTAAAAACATGCCTTTATTTTAGTCTATTTTTAGCTAAAAACGTAACTGTAAGTACAATAGTCTAAGATTTATCCAAAACCAGTGATTTGTCCCAGTTTTATACAAGAAATGCCCCTATTTTTGACCAATTTGATCTCCGTTAACAGTAAAGAGACGCATACTTTGTCATTTGTTTAGGTAAAATACAGAAAAGCTGCTTAAAAATGACAAAAACGCAAAGAAAATGTGACTATAGTGACTCACATTAGTGCCGAGTGCTTCTTTCTTCTCCCTTTCAGTCCGCGTGTTTACTACTGTGTGTGACTAAACTAATTACACTGTTAATTATGTGGACAATGACCTCAAGTGACTCTCTCTCAAGGAAATACCCAGAGAACAACTCATTTTTACACTCACAATTAGTCACCAAAGAAAAAGAGGAAGTCTGACTAAAATGTTTTGTTTGGGAAATGATTCGAAAATGCGCAAAGGCCTTGATGAAGTTGTAAACAGGGAAATGTGTTTGCGGCGTGCGAGTGTTCGGAGGATGACTGAGCTGCGGAGGAGTAAACAAAGCGTCCATTCAAACACGAGCTTGGAGAAGTGTCCGGGGTTAGTGTTCGCTGTTACCGCCGCAGTGGGTTTAATAGCTCTGAAGAGTGATGTTACGCGACAACTGTAAAACGCACGTACATTAAAAGGTCCGCGCGTGCTTTTTCATGATTGTTTACATTGTAGATTCTCACTAGAGGCATTAAAACTATGAATGAACACGTGTGGAATGTAGTAAAGAACAAATATACTCAAAATCACTTGTTATTTCATTTTAAAAAATTGCCGTCTTAAAAACGTCTTAAATTTCATGTTCCTAAATTAAGGCCTTAAAAAGTCATAAATTATGTTGTTCAAGTCTTTAAAGTCTTAAATTTTATTAGCCTATTTTTTTGTTTACTCAACCGGGCTGCAGTGCAATGTTCAATGGAGGGAGGGGGAAAAAAAACTACGTGAAATCATGTAACGTGAATGAACATCTAATTTGGAGTAAACAATACTTTGGTTTCTAGCGCCGGCAATGATGAGTAAACAATCAGTAGAGTGGACGAAGACTAGATCTAGGTGATATGGAGCAAAAAATATATCTATATATCTCGATATACGATATATAGCTCACTGTCTGTACAGAAAAAATAACCCCCCAAATCCACTGTAAAAACTAATTACACAATGTTCATTTTGAATCAAAGTGCTTCTGTGACATTAATAAAAAAAATCTCTGTATACAAAAATAATACATATTGTCTTCTTTTCATTCAAAATTAAATTAAAACAACTCAACTCAAGCTCGTCTTTGCATTAACTCTGTAACCGTACGATAAACAGAACCATGAGCTCATTTAGCCGAGGAAGTTTGGGAGGTTCCTTATTTTAATAGATCCATGTTCCTCACTAGTAGTAAGGAGCTCTGAGGTTTCCCACAATCCACTGCAGGTCAAACCCAACGTTGTACAAGTTACACTTCAGCAGATTAATAATTTAAATCTTCTGCATAAATAAACTTTACATTACCAAACTTATAACTACAACATATAAAGCATAACGACTATAGAGCCGCATCAGCCCGTTTGAGATTATAATGTGTTTAATGCAACTTTGCAAACATTTGTTTATGTTTTACAGAAACGAAACTTAAAACCACATGACTCATTTGCATAAACTGTAACGCTGGGAAAAAAACTACTCGCTCCTTGTGTCGCTGGCGGCGTTCAGCTCCTGTCAGACTAAAGGACACGACTCAGTGGAATATAGGTGTTCTCTCCATGGATCTATGACTCTCTCTGTGACAGAGGACGTGCTGCTGTTGGCCTTGTCTGTAAACGGTGGAAAAGGTACGTGGTGCTAGTAACTTTCGGCATTCAAGGCATTAGACACGTGTCTGCTGTTCGTCCATCGCCTTAAAATCGAAGTATCTCTGTATAATTGAGCCAGTTGTCCTTTTTTGAGACGAGTTCTGTATCCTCCGGGCTGGTTTTGGGCACCGCCGTGTTGAATGAGACACACGCGAGGGGAGCGTGAGAGAGGAGGGGGAACAAAAGCGAGGAGATGGAGGCGTGCGGGGACGAGCACAGAGACGGCAAACAAGCGAAGCGGCGAAATCAATATGTCAAAATC